GCGCCACGACGGTCCCGCAGGCCACCAAAAAGTCTCCGAACCATTGCACGAGGCTTCGAATACCAGCCGGTGCGGGTGGTGCCGCGATTGCCAAGGGGACCCAGAGGAATCCTTCGCGAACGTGCTGTAGTTTGTCCAAAGGGGCCCCGACACGCCCCACATCTCGCTCCAAGACGCCCACGACAGCTCCGAAACGTATTTTGACAGTTGCCCACCGTCTGTAAACGTGGGTTCTCGCACGTTTCCCCATGCGTGCACGGCAAAAACTGAAAATGCCAGCCGCAGAAATCACAACTGGCAGTGTGGGCGGTGCTGCGAGTGCCAGGGGGCCCGGGGCACTCCTCCGCGAGCACGCAGTACACTGTCCAAGAGGGCCCCGACACGCCCCGCATCTCGCTCCAAGACGCCCACGGCTCCAAAGACAACCTCAGAAGACCCAAGAAGACTTGACAAGAGCCCCACCCAGCTTCCCAAGAGGGCTTCCAGGAGCCAACTCCGTCAATGTCCGACGGGTTCAGATCATAGAGTTTGCAACGGAATCTGGGTCATCTTCGGGCGTCCGGCCATCGCTGCGCATTGTTGTTTTACACGACGGCGGGGGGCATCATATTACCCCGTGAGTGCAGGCCCACCATCCCTCTAAAAAACATGATGGACCCACGAACCCGGAAAGGGATATAGACATGTGGAGCATGGGCACGTTTTCACGATACCCAACGGGGCAACACCTCACGAAACATCCCACGAGACACCTCACGAAACATCCCACGAGACACCTCACGAAACATTCCGCGAGACACCTCACGAAACATTCCAGGAGACACCCCGCGAAACATTCCACGAGACACCCCACGAAACATTCCACGACGACAGGCAACCACTCAACCAAGGCGGTGTGGTCGTGCTGGGGAGTGGTCGTGCTGGGGTGTGGTCGTGCTGGGGGGTGGTCGTGCTGGGGTGTGGTCGTGCTGGGGGGGTGGTCGTGCTGGGGGGTGGTTGTGCTGGGGCGTGGTCGTGCTGGGGCGTGGTCGTGCTGGGGCGTGGTCGTGCTGGGGTGTGGTCGTGCTGTGGTGAGGTCGTGCTGGGGTGTGGTCGTGCTGGGGTGTGGTCTTGCTGGGGTGGGGTCGTGCTGGGGTCGGGTCGTGCTGGGGTGTGGTCGTGCTGGGGTATGGTCGTGCTGGGGTGGGTCGTGCTGGGGGGTGGTCGTGCTGGGGTGTGGTCGTGCTGGGGTGGTCGTGCTGGGGGTGTGGTCGTGCTGGGGGGTGGTCGTGCTGGGCGTGGTCGGCTGGGGCGTGGTCGTGCTGGGGTCGTGCGTGGGTCGTGCTGGGGTGTGGTCGTGCTGGGGTGTGGTGCGTGCTGGGGTGTGGTCTTAGGTCGTGCTGGGGTGGGGTCGTGCTGGGGTGGGGTGGGGTCGTGCTGGGGGTGGGTCGTGCTGGGGTGTGGGGTCGTGCTGGGGTGTGTCGTGCGTGCTGGGGTGTGGTCGTGCTGGGGTGTGGTCGTGCTGGGGAGTGGTCGTGCGGGGTGTGGTCGTCGTGCTGGGGGTGGTCGTGCTGGGGCGTGGTCGTGCTGGGGCGTGGTCGTGCTGGGGCGTGGTCGTGCTGGGGTGTGGTCGTGCTGGGGTGTGGTCGTGCTGGGGTGTGGTCGTGCTGGGGTGTGGTCTTGCTGGGGTAGGGTCGTGCTGGGGTCGGGTCGTGCTGGGGTGTGGTCGTGCTGGGGTATGGTCGTGCTGGGGTGGGGTCGTGCTGGGGTGGGGTCGTGCTGGGGTCTGGTCGTGCTGGGGTGTGGTCGTGCTGGGGTATGGTCGTGCTAGGGTGGGGTCGTGCATTTCGCTCGAGACATCCTGCCAAAATTCCAGGAAATCGTACAAAAACAAAGGAATTAGTCGAGACATCATCGAAATTCCTTCGCGCGGGGCGCTTTCCGCGTCCGGCGGCTCTGCAAAACAAGCGTTTCGCTCGAGACATCCTCGGCAAACTCTGCGGACAAGCGTTTCGCTCGAGACATCCTCAACTCTGAAAAAGCGTTTCGCTCGAGACATCGATCGGGATTTCAAAAACAAGCGTTTCGCTCGAGACATCCTCAAATTTTAATTCGCCGGCCTCCTTCGACCTCGTTATTTATCAGGGAAAAAATTCGCCGGCCTCCCTCAAGTTGGCACCGGGGGACAGGTTTACCAACTAAAAGAGAACCCTGGGCTCATGCCCTTTCCGGGAACAATGCATTGTGCACGTGGCGGCAAATTCGCCGACCCCCTGGGGTGACATCAGCGTGTGAGATGCTTCCCCCTCCCCCGATCCCTCCCCCCGGAGCTCGGTCCGGTCGATTTGGAGGGAGCGGGGTCCGCCTGGATCCTCCGGGCCCAGCCCGAACGCATCATGGGAGGATAGACGGCCCCACAACGTGCCGAGAGGGCCCCGAAAGGGCCCCAAGACCAAGAGGGCCCCAAGACGGTCCAAGAGGGCCCCGAGTCGCCTAATGATCTTACGGGACGGCCACGATGGCCTCCAGACGGCACAAGACACCCCCAAAACGCCCAAGGGTTTTCCAAGAGCCCTCCCAAGAGGGCCCCAAGAGGCCACGTTCATAGATGTTCATTTCGTGTCTGAAAACCTTTAGCGTTCTCGCCTTCTCGGTTTCCCGACGCTCCGCGGCGGCCCAAGAGGCTCCCAAGATTCCTTCAAACGGCCCCAGAGGCCTCCATGATGGCCCCTAGACGGGCAAAGAGGGCCTCCACAGGGCTCCGAAGACAGCCTCAGAGGCCTCCAACATGGCCCGAAAGAGCCACTGGACAGCCGCAAGAATAGCTCCGAAGGGGAACCCGAGCCCACATTTTGAGCCCTCGGCTCCCCACGGCCCCAAAAGAGTCCCCACGAAGCTCCTGGAGGGCCCCCAGGGGCCCCCCTGAAGCGCCCGAAATGAGGGCCAAGAGGCCCCCCAGAGGCGCCCAAGAGGCCCTCAGGAGCAAAGCACGCCACAGCCGCCAGGGCCGCCCGAGGGGCCGGCGGTGCGGCGCAAAAGCCCAGGACTCGGCAGGCCGGCGGCGCCACACGCATGGTGAGCCCAGACCCCCCGCCCCCGAGGCACGAAAAACAAGCACGACGAGCAGTGTGTGTTGCTGTTCTCGGCCTCTCGGCCGCTCGAGGCCCTTCCCGGGCCCGGGGAGAGTCAGAGACGACTCGGGGCCAGACCTTTCGGTCCCGGGGCAGGGGTCGAGACCGCTCGGGGTCGACGACGTCGCGCAGAAATGAAACAGACCATGATGCCAGAGGTTCGGGAACGAGGGATTTGCTGAGCCAGGACGTTGGCGCGCCCGAGCAAGCTGCGGCCGTGGGTCGACGCATTCCCCGTGCTCCGTCCGTGGGCAAACAAACCTACCTCGCTTTTGACCACCCTCGCTTCCAAGAGATACCAAGCGATGCCAAACTTCGGCCTGTACTGGTCAGGCCGCTTGACGAGGAGGCGCGTGGTATGACTTGGTTTTGCCTGGAAGCGAAAGCGGGGTAGGTAATTCACGCTCTGACTCCAGGTGGCACTGCCAAAGTCGTGGCCAACAGCGTCCTGGCCTTGGGGGGGGGGGGGGCGCCCTGAGAGCAGCCTCCCAAGAGGGCGCCACTTGCACGCCTGCGCCGACCCATGGGCAGGCCCATCCAGGGCCCAGAGCCGGCGCACAATATAACCACAGCCGAAAGGGACTACGCTATCCCAGACCTTCGCTTCTCATAACATGCCGGAGAACATCGTAAAATCTTGGCATCCTGCACAAATGCAGTCGGGGCCTTGACCTAAGGAACCCTAAATAAGGAACGAGGCCCTTATTGTCATAAGTTAAACTTCGATTTCCTATCGAAAACACAAGGAAAACCTGAGGCAAGCTGTGAAACAATGAAGGAACACCGAGCCCCTCCCCAACGAAAAGGGTTCCTTCTCCAGCGCCCCGACTGTAAAGCAGAATGCGGCAAGACGTAGACACTCTTCATACTGTTTTCCAAGAACATAAGCTCTCCACATAATAAGGGACTGCGCCATAAAGGGAACGCGCTACAAAGGGGCGGGACTCCTTTTGGGCCCTCGGCGCGCCCGGGTGCACGAGGAGCGCTGGAGCCAACACGGGCGGCGCGCACTTGGGGTGCGGCGCGAGGCGGGCGACCTCTCAGCAGGCGGGGGGCGCCTCAGAAGGCAGAGGCCCACTCTCAGGCGATCGCAAGGAGGAGGAGGAGGAGGAGGAGAAGGAGGAGGACGAGGAGGAGGAGGAGGAGGACCAGTGTAAACCCAAGAGTCATCAACGATGTTGGAATTAACCCTCCCTCCAAGCTCCCTCTTCACAGGCCCCTACAACGGTTCATTTCCATTGAAGGAACTGCCTCATTGGAAGACAACCGTCTGAAGATCCTGAAGCGTGCCAAAACATTGGAGGAGGAGAAGGAGGAGGAGGAGGAGGAGGAGGAGGAGGAGGAGGAGAGGGAGGGGGAGGAGGACCTAAGAAACTGCGGCCCGCTGCCGAACCCGGAGCTTGCCCTGGATTCAGTGTCTTCGCTGTACACACTGTACACGCCCTCCTGGCTTGGCCGGGAGTGCGTAATGCGTAAACACCGATCCTGGGCCCATGAATAGCGCCTGGCCGGGGTCGGTAAAAGTGCATACGGCTGGGAACTTTTGCTCAGGGTGCCGCCGAGGCGGCCCTGGCGACACGATATGCTCTGCGAGTGGATAGCGTGTCGCTCCGCTCCGTGGGACGGGGGGGTGGGAAAGGCTCGGGACGTTAACGCCTGCGGACCGCGGTGTGGATAGCGTTTCGCGCCGAAGCATCGTGGACCAGAACTGGCAAAGCGACACGCTATCCTAACATTCTCGACCGTAGTGGGCGTCCTCTGACCTCCCCCGTCCTCCCCCTCCCCAAGAAACGGCGTCGGACTGGAGCAAGTGCTTCAAAGGATTCGCGAGAAAACCTGTTATTTGGGGCCGCCACCCCACCTCCCCCCCCTGGTACGTAACGTCACGATTCGCTCAGGCGCCGTTTGGAAATGGCTGCAGGGGTAGCTACTAAGACCCACGGACACCGAGACAGGTCGAGACGCCTCGCAACGAGGCAACGGGGCGGTGGAAGGACCGAGCAATCGACTGGACTGGAACGCCTCGTCCACGAGAGGAGAGGTGCCTTCGTAGGTCACCCAACTTCGCGCCTCGCGCATCGCGAAGCGTAATTATCTTCGCCCCCTCGCGCCGTCCCGTGGCGAAGAAGAGCTCCGCGGCCCCGCGGCCAAGGCCGCGAAGCGACAAGATGTGAATCTATCTTGGCGCCCGTGCCGGTGTGCGGCTCCTCGCTGGCGCCCCGGCACCAGACGTACAGGGCACCGGCGCCGTCGGACGCGCCGCTGTCGAAGCCGTCGCAGTCGTCGAGCCCCAGCGAGGGGCGTGTGGCATTCTCCAGGCGGTCGGCGTACTCGAACTCGCGGGCGCGCCTGGGATGGGGAGGCACGTATTTCAGCCTCCCCACGCCGCAGGACGAGCTTTTGTTACCAGTCCCCCATCCTCCGACCCTCCCCCTCTCTTCTCTTCGCCCACGTCCTCTTCATTCTCCACCTTCTCCCCCTTCCAGGCCTCCACCTCCTCCTCCTCCTCCTCCTCCTCCTCCTCCTCCTCCTCCTCCTCCTCCTCCTCATCATCATCCTCTCGCCCACGTCCTCCTCATCCTCCACCTTCTCCACCTCTCGCCCACGTCCTCTCCACCTCCTCCTACACCTCTCGCCCACGTCCTCCTCATCCTCCAACTTCTTCTCCTCCCCCTTCCAGGCCTCCACCTCCTCTTCCTCCCCACCCTTGTGACGTCGCTCCCCCTTCTGTATGATCAGATCCAGGTAAACTGGCACAAGGACCCCCCCTTCCACACAGGAACGTTTGAAGGTGTTTTTTGTGAACGGTTCTTGCGCTAGGAGGCCCATCAAGGAACTCTCACGAGCTTCCTGGAGTGCGGTTCCCAGTAGCAAGTTCGCCTGGCTAGCGCCTTTGGCCCAGTCTAGTCTCGCATGCCCCAGACTCCTCAGGCAGGACAATTCTGTGCCTACCATGAGGGGGTCCAGCTGATTTCTGGGCCCGCCGTTTTTGTTTCGGACTGCGAGAACGTCGTCAAGACCCACTCGCTTCCCAAGCACGCCCAACTGTGAGAGAAACAAGATATGCCGGCCACTGTTATAAGCTAGAACATCTTCTACCTCTATACACCTGAAACATGATGGACCCACGAACCCGGAAAGGGATATAGACATGTGGAGCATGGACACGTTTTCATGATACCCAACTGGGCAACACCTCACGAAACATCCCACGAGACACCTCACGAAACAGCCCACGAGACACCTCACGAAACATTCCACGAGACACCTCACGAAACATTTCACGAGACACCCCGCGAAACATTCCACGAGACACCCCACGAAACATTCCACGACGACAGGCAACCACTCAACCAAGGCGGTGTGGTCGTGCTGGGGAGTGGTCGTGCTGGGGTGTGGTCGTGCTGGGGGGTGGTCGTGCTGGGGGGTGGTCGTGCTGGGGGGGTGGTCGTGCTGGGGGGTGGTCGTGCTGGGGCGTGGTCGTGCTGGGGCGTGGTCGTGCTGGGGCGTGGTCGTGCTGGGGCGTGGTCGTGCTGGGGCGTGGTCGTGCTGGGGCGTGGTCGTGCTGGGGTGTGGTCGTGCTGTGGTAAGGTCGTGCTGGGGTGCGGTCGTGCTGGGGTGTGGTCTTGCTGGGGTGGGGTCGTGCTGGGGTGTGATCGTGCTGGGGTGGGGTCGTGCTGGGGTGTGGTCGTGCTGGGGTGTGGTCGTGCTAGGGTGGGGTCGTGCTGGGGTGGGGTCGTGCTGGGGAGTGGTCGTGCTGGGGTGTGGTCGTGCTGGGGTGTGGTCATGCTGGGGCGTGGTCGTGCTGGGGTGGGGTCGTGCTGGGGTGGGGTCGTGCTGGGGTGGGTTCGTGCTGGGGTGCTCCGCACCCTGTGATTTATCGATCGGGTCGTGCTGGGGTGTGGTCGTGCTGGGGTGTGGTCGTGCTGGGGTGTGGTCGTGCTGGGGAGTGGTCGTGCTGGGGTGTGGTCGTGCTGGGGGGTGGTCGTGCTGGGGGGTGGTCGTGCTGGGGGGGTGGTCGTGCTGGGGGTGGTCGTGCTGGGGGTGGTCGTGCTGGGGCGTGGTCGTGCTGGGGCGTGGTCGTGCTGGGGCGTGGTCGTGCTGGGGCGTGGTCGTGCTGGGGCGTGGTCGTGCTGTGGTGAGGTCGTGCTGGGGTGTGGTCGTGCTGGGGTGTGGTCTTGCTGGGGTAGGGTCGTGCTGGGGTCGGGTCGTGCTGGGGTGTGGTCGTGCTGGGGTATGGTCGTGCTGGGGTGGGGTCGTGCTGGGGTGGGGTCGTGCTGGGGTCTGGTCGTGCTGGGGTGTGGTCGTGCTGGGGTATGGTCGTGCTAGGGTGGGGTCGTGCATTTCGCTCGAGACATCCTGCCAAAATTCCAGGAAATCGTACAAAAACAACGAATTAGTCGAGACATCATCGAAATTCCTTCGCGCGGGGCGCTTTTCCGCGTCGCGGTCGGCTCTGCAAAACAAGCGTTTCGCTCGAGACATCCTCGGCAAACTCTGCGGAGCAAGCGTTTCGCTCGAGACATCCTCAACACACGAAAAAGTGGCCCGCACCCTGTGATTTATCGATCGGGATTTCAAAAACAAGCGTTTCGCTCGAGACATCCTCAAATTTTAATTCGCCGGCCTCCTTCGACCTCGTTATTTATCAGGGAAAAAATTTCGCCGGCCTCCCTCAAGTTGGCACCGGGGGACAGGTTTACCTACTAAAAGAGAACCCTGGGCCCCCGCCCTTTCCGGGAAAAAGTCCCACGCTCCCTCCCGTCAATCTCTTGGCGATGGGAAGGCTTCGGAGGAGCTCAGGTTCTGGAAGACTGAGAATGACGAAAACTACCGCCTCACGATGCCGGCTCTGGCACGGCATCCTTCAGATTCCGATTCCGAGGAAGAACTCAAGAACGACGTTGCGTAGGCTCGGGCCTGCTGCAGCTTCGCTATGCACCTCCTTTCTCACTTCCAGTCCCTCGGGGAATTCGGTGAGGTGGAGTACGTGCCACCACCCAAGCCTGTCCGAGCCCCTTGTGCTGCGCGTTCCTGGAAGCATGTTAGGACGTTCTGGAAGTGTTCTTCGTGTTTAAAAGTGTCTCGTGGGAAATGGCCTGGGAAGCCACTTCCCTCGGCCTGTCTGGGGCACAAGGACCTCCCGATAGAAGAAATTGTCTCTCAGGGCCACAAATGTATGGCTCTGGATTGTTCTAACGAACCAGTCGTCCTCATATGCCAGGTGTGAACATATGCTTCTTCCCACGGTATATTCAAAGGCTTAAAGGAGACGTGCCATCCCCAGCCTTCCACATTCGGCAAGTGGGTGTGGCCGGCCTTGAGCAGAGGTCGGCACCTCAAGAGAAGTGGCCGCTCAATGATGTGCCCTCTCGTGCTCTCTGACCTCGACCACTCCGCCCGCCTCAGATCTAGATCTACCCCCTAACACAGTCCAGTGAGTTCGGACGTCGAGGATGACAGGAGTAGGGGTGCGATAGCATCGTATCTCGCACAAGCGGCCCAGCTCAGGAGAGTTGTGGACGCCCCCAGGGAAGAAGAAGATATCGCGCCATTCGTTCCAGGGGCCAACCGTGTGGGCGATGAAGACAGCTCCGACCAAATTATCAAATCTCCCCGGCCAGTTCACCTCCTTGCCTCTGTTTCTCGAGGGCCCTGAGTGGGCCCTCTGGCTCCCTTTTTCCCCCTCGGCGTCCTTGGTTAGGGGGCGCGGTGCTGGCCCGTGCTCAAGGCACTGGCCGCCGCTGCCTCGCCTTCCTCAGGCGCAGGGGCTGCTTCTCGGCAGGGCTCTGCGTCAGAGCTTGACTTCGCAGTGGGGGTCGGCTCGGGATCCCCTCCCTGCCGCCGCTGCTCGCACCCCAGTGCTTGCGTGCAGCGCCCGCTCTGCTTTTCTGGCGGGTGTTGGGTGCAACGCCTCCCCCGCCCGCCCCAAGGCCGCGGGTCATACGCCCATGGGGTAAGGGTAGCCATCCATTGTCGCCCTCACTTCCCAGAGCTCGGCAGACTGAGTCACCCGAGGTCCTCGACCGATCGATCCACCAGCCGACCTCCTCCCAACGCTGCCCCACCTCTGCGACCTGTGCGGTGTGGACTGTCTTGGCTGCCCGAAGCCCCCGGTGCCCCCGCTGCCAAGGGCGTCACTGGCCAAAGGTGTCAACAGCTCTTCGCGCCACTCTGGAGCCCGCTGGGGCTCGTGAGGCGTGGTCTCAGGAGAGCCCAGACTCGAATCGACAAATCGGATCGGCGATCGAAATT